CGGCTGGGCTTGAGTCATGACCGGGGCATTTCCCTGAGGATATGCTCCGTCGTTGCTGGCTCGTGGCAGTTGTCACAGCTCGGTGTGAGTACTTTCAAGGGTGTATCTTGGGAAGGACCGGGATTGTCGTGAAACTTCGTGTGTGAATCTTCTGAGTGTGACCTCGTAGAGGCGGGTAGACCTTGGGGGCGGGACATCGTGATTTCTGGCTTCTTCCAGTTTGGCCCTTAATTGCCACCGGTGTTGAATTTTCGCTCGGTAGTTGCCTTCAGGGGTCTCATATTGGTTCATCGTTGCGGCCTGCTTCGAGCTCGCGTCCCCGAGTCGTTCCTTGCTGTGAAGTAGGAGTCACCTCTCTTTTTAGTTTTTGGAATGTCCGCTGGATGGCAGCACTTGAACATGATGAATATATGCACAACGCCATCTCGCATCTCAAAAGATGCGTCATGGTGGTCCTTGGAGTGTTCACTAAATGGACGGGCGGACAGACATACAGACGGACATGAGGGCCGACGGACGGATGGACATACATACGGACACTCGGACATATAGACAGAGACATATGGCGGGGAATGGGAAAAAAGAAAAATAAAAGACCCGGGCCCGTTCCACGAGGTATACTGGGCTCAATCCAATTGAAAATAAAGATGAAAAGGGTAAGAGACCCTAGAACAAATTTTCGTATTGTTAAAAGTTTACATCTATTTTGAAAATAGGTATTGGGAAGTTATACAATGAAAAGGCTTCTTTCCTTTTGATTTACAAGTTGCTTCCTAACCTTGTCTTCAGGTATGGCTTCTGTTCGTAGTGCAAGGGTGTACCTTGTTGTTTCCATGGGTGTTCTGGATTATGTGAAACTCAACAATTTAGACTGAACTTAGGGGTGTGTTTCCTTTAACTTATTTAACCGTGCTTATATTTTTAATAACTAGCAAGACAATGAAAGGTAAGCTAAGTTCGTATAGTTATCATTAGTCGTCTTGCCAAAATTTTTCTTTTTTTACTTTCAGACTTTCTTGGTAGAATGGGCACTGTCAGGACATCATAGAGTCTGTTCTATCACCCTATTTTCCCTCTGGCTCGTAAACTCTCCATAATGAGTCCTCGTCGCACTCCTCCTGTCTGTATTTTTTATGGCCACAACTTACACAGCGTGGGGGCTTCTGACAGTCAAAACGTGCCTGTCCATTTTCAGCGCATCCCGAACACCAATGGCGGTTGATGTTGTCGAATATGTTACACCTGGATCATCCAAAAATGATTTGCTTTCTACTACCTTGCATGGCGTTTAGTTTCTTCTTGCTTAGAGCGATAACCACCGTTGATCTCTGCCTACCTTCGCACTTCTTTTTGACCAGAAGATCATCAGGGCTACATTGGAAGTGATTCTGCTCTACTAGGCGTTGAGGGAGTGCATCGCCGGCCAATTTTTCATTAACTCTAATTATTTTGGTATTCAATTGTTTTCTTTTGGTTTGTTGACTTTCAATTGTTGCAATGCAGGCTTTACTAGAATGTGGCTCTTGAGGTTTTCTGTTGACTCCTTTGAGGCAGTTGTCAGGATGATACATTGAGGTTCATACTTCATAGAAGCACCTGGGATTCCCAAGCCAGTAGGATTGACTGTTTTCCTGATTAGTTCCACCATTTCTTGTTTTCCCAAGGTGTCCGATGGTAAATATGAACACGTATGATTTCCTTTCAACTGTGTTTCAACGTTTTGCTGTACTCTCTCCTCTCGCTTTTTTTGTTTTCTGCTGCCTGCTCTCCAGTTCAGAAAAATTCGCGCTTTGGAACGCAATCTTTTGGCCTCGTTCAATGATTATCTTCTTCATCTTAGAAGGCTCAGATAAAACACAATTGATTAAGGCCCCTACGTCATCATTTTGGCCACTAGCTGTCATTTTTTTACAAGAGCCTTCATGATAGCACTATCGGCTCTTTCAAGCTTTTTGAGCAAGGAGGGTTTCATTTGCTGTTCTCCATCGCGCTGGAGAGAAGAATAGTCGTCGGTGAGTTTCTGCTGCTGATAGGATTTCTCTTCGCCCTGGTTCTTCGTCGTCAGAAGGGTCTTCCCAATAATCTGTGAGTCATTGCTGCTTTCTCCTCTTGCGTTGGAGCTGCTCTTGTATCTTTTTTGTCTTTGTGATCCTCAATGGAAAACCATGAAATGTTCTTTTTTTTGTCTCCGCATTGTGAGCTGTCTTCAGAGCGTTCTTGCTTGCTTTCTTCGAATTTCATCTTCTTGGCCTTGTTTTCGTTTTTGAGTTTTTCAGTTGATGGTTTGTGATGAGGAGTTGCCTGTTTGAATGGGCTGCTTGCCTGTAAGTTCGACTATTCTTCAGTCGGTGGCTTGTGTCCAATAGCTGGTTGCTGGGTCAAAGAATTCGTATTACAGGAAATTCGGCATGATATTGCACCTTAGACACTCCAAGGGTTACCATCAGTTACCCACGTAAGATGACAGGCTCCGTGTTGGAGAAAAAATTGATAAAAAAGGCAGTTTTTAAGTAATAAAAACAACTTTCCTCGCAGATTACACACTCTCGAGGCTTTCCTGAGGTTCCGCAATGTCTCAGAAGGAATCAGAGGCAGTTCTCGAAGTGCGGAACTGTTTTTGTTTTGGAAATTCTAGATGTTTTTCAGGTGTAGCCAGTGAAGGCTGTTGTTTGCTCTAGGAGTCACTAGTTCGACAAAACTTTGGTAGTTTTATTGCTATTCTGGGATCCTCTGAGGTGCTCCAAGTCTTCGCAAGGTGATGCCAGCAAATTTAGAGCTTTACTCGCAGTTTGGATGCTGGTACAAACGCCCGAAGCCAGAGGCACCCCTGAGGCTGTGGGGGCTGGCAGTTCCGCAGGCGGTAGTCAGTCAGTCGGTCGGTTGGTCGGTCGGACGGGCGCACTGATGGGCAGATGGACGGATGGACAGACAGACAGACACACAGACAGACAGACAGACAGACAAACAGACAGATAGACAGACGAACGGACGCGGCCAGCGGATGATCCACGGTTTGCCGATAAAACCACTCGGAGCTTCACCCCTCTCATCCTTATTCACTCCGTGAATATGCTACCGACCGAAAGTGACGGAGCACTTCTAAATGTGGGTGATGAAAATAAGTGAATAATTCTGTATTCCCGTTCTGTAATATAACCTCATGGCCCCAGCAAATTTTCTGCCACCTTGGCACATCATTCGTCGACACATCAGTCATCGAAAGCACGCCACCTACATGCATTATATAATGCACCTTCATGAAATTAGGGCAAAATACTCTTGTCCTGAATTGTATACCGACATTTCCAAGTTGCATTCTGGTGTCTCGTACGCAGCTATTGGTTAAGCATTTACCAAAACTGACGTTCTTCATTCAGAAAGAAGCATCATTACCACAGACACATATGCAGTTACGGCTGCTGTGCAACAAATCACAAGAACAAAGTCATTATATTCACGGACTGCTTAAGTGTTTTCAAGTCTCCAACGTCTTCCTGGGAACATGACAACGTAGTTCTTAACAATCTGTACACACGTTTTGTACAGCAAACACATCTAACCAAGACATCAACATATGTGGTGCCAGGTCATAGGGACATTGAGGGCAACGTTCTTGTGGACAAAACTGCGGGAGCTGCTGTAACTAGCACTGGCTATATTATTTTCCCGTATTTTTTACGCATTTAAGACCTACACTCTTACAAAAAAGTTAGTAAAAAGCTTGTAAGCACGAACAAAATGTTAGCGACAGCAGCTGTTATACCCCTGTCACACGGGCACCCGCGAACACCGTTTAGCTCCCTCGTCCTTACGAAAGGGGATGAAGTCCGTGCCACATGGCAACCATTACGCGAACGAAGGTAAACTGAGTATTTCGCAAAGGACGTTTGACAATCTTCCTTTGCAGAGGAACGACGTAATCTCGTTCCCAGTATCGGCAGGTCACAAAACATTTTTCGAGCATTAAATTTCTGCAAAGACAGCAATAAATACTTTTGGCAATATTAAACATTCTTTTGTTGCAGTACTCATTCATGACGTGTGTCTGTGGCGGTGTGAAGGGCGTCATCCATGCGTGCGGTTCTTGTCGTTGCCGTGTTTGCGTGTGCTCGGGAGAGGAATGCCTGATAGCGCTGCATCATTGTAACCTGCTTCGACGGCTGCAGGAATGGGTAATATGACCAGACCTAATTGAAGGCTAACTTGGGATGCGCTCATGAGGGAAGGAAACACCAGAGCTTTGGTACACGGTCTACAAAACCAACTAGTCGCTGAGCACAGCGCAAATGTAAATAAACACAGCGTTAGGCACAAGGGGGCCATCGTCGCTGCCAGTATTCCTACAATTGGTGAGTGTGTTTCCATTTGAAATAATTTTTAATACTTTGTTTGCTTCTGACGTTCTTCATATTGTGTTTTGTAAAACTTCATAACGAAGATTCACAAAAAAAGCACCTTCAGATGGAATTGCGATACTTCTGTGAAACTCAAACAGCGCCGGTGCACCCCGCTCGTGGCAACTATCGCAACGTTGTCATTGTCATGTGACATTGCCTCAACATCATCTACGTCGAGATACCTGGCGGAGCTTCACGTTGGCGGAGTTTAACAGAGTTTGGTGGTGGCCGTGTGACACGGGTATTACTAACTTGGGCCAGAATATTTTTACGATCATTTTTCTACTCACGTTAGCTCACGTTAGCAGAAGCTTGAAGGTTGCAGCAGTTACTACCTTTTGCGCACAGTTAGTAACTTTTTTGTCATGCACGTATTTGAACCTTAGAGGTGATTACTGTGATATCGGTTATCAAACAAGTCATGACGTAACACCGTCGTCACGATAAAGCGCTTTAAAAGCAGAGCATTTCTTCAATAAAGGGGCATTCGTTCCTGTCCAGGTCCGGCGTCGGTGTCTTTCCTCGGCCACGATAGAACAACTGGTGACGAGGATGGAATGATAGTACAATCCTGAAGCAAGCACAGAAGGCAAGCGTTTCAAAATGGCGATTCCACTAGCTTCGCAACGTTTCGGACGCATGCCAGAGTTTAACCCGAGCAGCGACGACATCAAGTCGTATTTTGAGTTGTTTGAGAACTTTGTGGCACTAATGAGGTTCCGGAGACAAAGAACCTGAGACTGTTCTTCAACGTAGTCGGAAGCACAGTGTACGGGGAGTTCCAGAAAATTTCAGTGTCTGACAGACCTACTGACAAAACCGTCCCAGAAATACAGGAGCTTCTAGAACAACACTACAGTCCTCAGTATTCTGTAATCGCCGAGCGTTGCAAGTTCAACAAACGCATGCAGAAGGAAGGAGAATGCGTCAAAGTATTCATGACAGAATTGAGACATCTGGCGCGGGATTTCAAGTTCGAGGCGTTTCTAAACGATGCATTAAGGGATCGACTCGTGGCAGGACTGCGCGACCAAGAGACTCAAAGGGTATTGTTTGCAACTAAAAACTTGACCTTTGAAAAAGCGTGCAAAATCAAACTAGAAAAAGATTTTGCTCCCAAGCAAACCATAGAGATACATTCTAAAGCAGAATGCTCGACCGATAATAATGCGGTCAATAGGAAAACACAAGCAAAAACTAGGCCGTCGGAAGAGCAATCGGACGATTCCCAGACGTATCACGTCGTGATGTGTGCTAGAGATGGGAAACGAGGCTACAAAATGTCTTTGCGGATTGAAGGGAAGCCTATTTTTATGCTTTTGGATACGGGCGCAGCTGTCACATTGATGCCTGAAAGTACGTTTAAGCAATGCTTTTCGCAAACTGCGTGCAAAACAACAAAGGCAGTGTTGAAAACTTATACAGGACAGCCTGTGAAGCTGAGAGGACAGGCGACCGTAACCGTCGAGCATAACGGCTACAGAACAGAGCTTCTGCTACATATAGTAGAGGATCAGAGCAAGGCTATGCCTACGCTTCTAGGGTGAGATTGGCTTGAAAAGTTGCAACTTGACTGGAACATTGTCAGTGCTGTCACACAAAGCGTGGATGTCGGTTCTCTGCGGGAAAAATTTCCAGAAGTCTTCCGTAAGACACCGGGAATAGTTCGCAACTTCGAAGCCAAAATAGCCTAACACCCAAATACTACGCCTGTGTTCTGCAAAACCAGGTCTATGCCTTTCGCTACTAAAAAGGCAGGCTGCGAAGAACTTCGGAAACTAAGGAGTCAAGGCATCTTAAAGAAAGTAACTACGAGCAATTGGGCGACTCCCCTCGTACCACTTCCGAAGCGTGGAGGTGGAATGAGAATTTGCGGAGACTACGAAGTAACAATCAATCGAGTACTCAACACTCATTGCTATCCACTACCGCTTCCTGAGGATTTATATTCAATGCTAGCTGGGGCGAATAATTTTGCTTGCTGGACTTACCCTTGGTGTACCAGCAAGTGCCTCCCAGTGAAGAGTCCAAGCCACTGCTCACGATAAACACGCATCAAGGCTTATACGAATTCCAAAGACTTACATTTGGAAATGCGAGCGCACCGGCCTTATTTCAAGCCATGATAGACAAAGTCCTAGAAGGAATTCATAACGTAGGATGCTGTATAGACGATGTCATCATCACTGGCCACAGTGCAGAAGACGGCTACACAACTGCCACAAAAGTCCTGAAAGCACTCAGCAACCACAACATAATGCTAAAGGAAGAAAAATGCAGATTTTTTTGCAATTTTGTGGCTTACATTGGGCAAAACCTCTCGGAGGTGGGCTTCTACCGCACCGCTGAAAAGATAAAAGCAGTGCGAGGTGCGCCAGAGCCCAGTAACATCACGGAACTGAGGGCCTACATTTGTCTTCTGAACTTCTATGGCAAATTCTTGCGGAATTTGGCAACTGTAGTAGCACCACTTTTTCAGCTTCTTCAAAAAGACCGCAAGTGGGAATGGACGCAACAGCGCACGAAGGCATTCGAAGAAACTAAGGAATTGATTCTGAACAGTGGAGTATTAGCCTTCTACGACAACACAAAACCAATCGGACTTAGTTGCCATTCTTCTGCTTACGGCTTGGGAGCTGTGATTTTCTATAAAATGCCTGACCGAACCAAACGACCAATCGCATTCGCTTCGCGCACATTAACCAGCAGTGAACGCAACTATGCTCAAGGGGAAAAAGAAGCCCTCGCACTCATATTTGTGTTGCGACAGTTCCATCGCAAGTTCAGCCTATACAATGACCATCAGCCGCTTCTTGGGCTTCTTGGGCATGATAAGCCACTGCCATCATTAGCAGCTGCACGAATGCAGAGATGGGCACTGACGTTGACAGCGCATCAGTACGATCTCAAGTAGCGAACGGCAAGAAAATGGAAGTCCCTGACGCGCTATCACGGCTGCCACTGTCTACAAGCTTGGGCAAGGACGAACCGGAGTGTTTATCTGTTTTCGACGCGACCTCGCTGGTTGTTCGAGAAACAAAGCGACACACTGTTCTGACGCGTGTTTTAAGCTACGTTCTTTCAGGATGGCCACAGCATTACCCTGACGAACTGCGACCATTTTTCACACACAGAGATCACCTGTCTGCAGAGCAGGGGTGCTTGACTCGGAGCAATCGAGTGATCGTGCCAGAAACTTTGCAAGCTCATGTTCTCTCAATGCTGCGAGGGACACCTAGAAATGAGTTGTATGAAGATGCTTGCACGTTCCTACGTGTGGTGGCCTTCACTCGACAAAAACGCAGAAAAAGCCGTGCGGAATTGTCAAGTCTGCCAAAGCACTCGTCCAGCAAAGTCGACAGGTCCTCTGCAACCCTGGCGGCATCCAACAAAAGTCTGGGAGAGGATTCACGCCGACTACGCTGTCAAAGACGGTGTATATCTACTCGTTCTTGTAGACGTGTACTCCAAGTGGATTGAAGTGTTTGTCATGCCGTCGACTACAACCACGAGAACCTTGGAAAAACTGGACACGTTATTCACTGCATACGGCTACTCTGAAGAAATTGTAACCGACTACGGTCCACAGTTTACTTCGGATGACTTTGGAGAGTTCTTGAGGCACAGGGGTATCAAGCATACTAGGACCCCTCCTTATGATGCCGCTTCTAATGAAGCAGCAGAAAGACTGGTAAGAACGACCAAGGAAGCTCGCTTGAAGCAGGTTCTGAGCGATCAACATGCTGGAGTGAAGAATACAGTACAAGAACGTCTCAACAAATTTCTTTTTTCTTATTGAAACACCCCACACTCGATGACTTCCAGTACGCCCACTGAAGTTTTCCTCAGGCTCCTGCCCCGAACTACATTGTCTCTTCTTAAACCAAGCTTTGCAGGAGACATGGTGGAGCACCTGAAACAAGACACGGAGCGACGTAATCGCCAAGGAGGACCAGTTGAATTTTTCTCCGTGGGAGACAGAGTGTACGTAAAGACCATACGTGGTGAGCCGGTATCATGGCAAGAAGGCACTGTTGAGCAAATTGTCAGCCAAGTCACGTACATGATTAGGGTTCAAGGGCGATTACAGTTCACTCACGTGAATCACTTGCGACAGAAGAAAACTAGCATATGAACCGAAGTCTCTAGTAATGCGGCATCCACAACTGGTTCGGAGAATGATGGAGGAATCCGCCCAGGAGGATCAAAAGTGCCAAGAATTCTTTTGCAGGATTAGTCTTCTCGCGAGGTCTTGTCGAAAGGCAACGTGTCAAGCAAACCTTGGCCAAGAAGACAAGATACAACACAGGACACCTCATCAGAGTAAAGAGACTCCAGCGACAACCACCAGAATCACCTCCAGACGCGTCATCAGGTACAAAAAGATGGAATGCAGGGCTTAACAAGACCGGATCTAGCTCCCCAGCAGTTGAGCAGCCTATTCCTACAGGCAACGAGTCATCGTCAGCATTAGCGCGACGAGGCATTCGCGTGAGCCTCCTGAGCGGTACGCTGCAGAAGACTTCACGAAAAGAGCAAGTTGAAATAAACTACTGTTGTTTCACTAAGAAGGGAAGAGTGTGATATCGGTTATCAAACGAGCCATGACGTAAGACCGTCGTCACGATAAAGCGCTTTAAAAGCAGAGCATTCCTTCAATAAAGGGACATTCCTTTCTGTCTGGGCCCGGCGTCCGTGTCTTTCCTCGGCCACGATAGAACAATTACTACAAGCGTCTAACAATCTATTTAAAAGCACGGGGATGCATTCAAGTTCACTGAGGCAATACATGTATGCTTACTACCCAGTCTTATCTCTTGTACATTAGGCCGTGTTAATACGGTATTATGCAAAGTAGACTGGTGGCAGCGATGGTGCATCCGGCATATCGTCTCACGCATTTTTCTCTGCATGTGCAGCTATCTCGGCCAGCGGTCAACATTTCCACGTGGAAAGCGAACCTCATTATTCTGATCAACGGCGTCCCATAAGCTCGTCTGGTGTTATCGGCTTCATCGGCTGGCCACAAGTTCGCCAGGTGTCGTCACTTCGTGTAACACCGCTCATAAGGAGCAGGGCCATCTCCGAGACTTCACTGGTGGCAGCGACGGTGCATCCGGCATGTCGTCTCACGCATTTTTTCTCTGCATGTGCAGGTTAGTTTTGTGAAACTTTACGCACCTTTTTCACTTGTTCCCCGTCATTGCCACCACTTTTTTTCCGCGTATCTTTGCTTGTACAGTTGTTCGGTTGCCGTTTTCCTTGCAAAATGCCTTCGAATGAACAGCTTGCCAAGTGGTTAGATGCACTTGAGGCTAAATTTTAAAATGAAAGCAGCAAGCTCACTGACGATATTCTCGGTAAATTTTTGGTAAAGCCTCAGTCCTCTGGTCTTGATGCTGTCGAGTTAAAAAAACAAGTAGAAAGCTTGGAATCAAGTTTGGACGTCTTAAATAACTTTATTGAAAAACTGCGTGATGATAAACTTGAAGCTTACAACAGCTAACAAAAAGTTCATATCAGAAAACAATACGCTGTCCTAAAGGGGGGCCGAGCTTGAACAATACTCTAGATTGAACAATGTTGAGGTGGAGCATTCCTTGTACCCAAGGGGAAGACTGCATTGCAGTCATGCAAATCATTGGCACAAAAATTGGTTGCCTGGTAACGGCGACTGATCTCAGTGTCGCTCACCGAGTTCCCACTGAAGTTCAAGACAAAAAAATATCGTAGCTAGGTTCTGTTCGCGAGCAAGAAAATATGAATTTGTCAGTAAGGCACACAAAGCTAAGCTTCACCTAAGTGACATCGGTGTGAAAGCTTCTGTTGACAGTGCTGCCTATGCGAATGAGCACTTGACGCCGCGAAACAAGGTGCTCTTCTCGAAAGCCGTGGTTTTGAAAAAACAACACAAAGGGCAATTTTTTTGGATCAGCAACTGCTCAATCAAAGCAAAAAAAAAACTAAGAAAATCAAAGTGTACCGCATAGCTGAGGAATCGAACTTCACGGCAGTTCACTAATCTGATTTCAATTTGTACCTGCCTTACTCTCATCCTTCTATCATGGCTTCATATTACAGCACGAGTGAGTTAAACAAGTTTTTCAGGAATAGTAATCGTTCTGTTAATCATTTCAATGCATGCAGCCTCCGTAAACATTGCGATGACTTTTATTATTCTGCTTTCCACCTTTCTTTTACCTTTTCGATAATTGCTGTCTCAGAAACCTGGCTTTGTGAAGTTGATAAGAACTTAGAATGTTTCTCTTTGTACAAATCTGAGTACGCCCACCGTCTATCCTTTAATCATGGCGGAGCTGCTATCTACATCTCGCCTGATATACCGTACAAACGCA